TATTAATAACGTGTGTAAATATAGTGAAAGAATTCAGGAATGCATTAATAATGTATGAAAATTCACGGAAATCATAATAAGAGAAGGAAGATGTTTTAAAAAATACTTTCGGAAAATACTTTGGAAGATGCCTAAAAAACCCCACATGTTAAATGCAATAAATGAATATTGTGAAACTAATATAATAAAATAGAAATAATAATTATATAATTAATTTCATACGCTAAGATTTTCACGGGAAATTCAATTAAAATGCGCCAAACAAGAATAGATATCAATCAGAAACTGCATACCAAAACAAAAAAGCTTGCCGGTCCTGTTCCGAGTTTCATTAAAAGATTCAAGGAAAAAGCAGAGAGATCAAGTGACAGCGTCCGGCTTAGAGGTCGCGGACTGCGGCAGCTCAATTGCCGAGCCACTCCGCAGGGCCTAGCGACCTTGTCATTCGTCATTCAGTTTCGCGATTTAGACCCTCACAATTAGCTTACAGGCCACATTCAGTACTCACAATCAACTCAACTAATGTATAATGAATGCATTCCTTACTCCTGGTTGAATATTTAATAGCTTTTATTATCCACCATAACTTGGCGTAGCTCTCAATTATAACTGTTACTGGTATTCTCATTTACTTGCTAAATTAAGAATGGAAAAAAAGATAAATCAAAAAATCAAGAGGGAAAATCCTTATGCGCAAATATCATTTTTTCCTGCTGATAGGGATGATTGATAAATTAATGTTACGAACGTAGCTCGCGAATCGGCCGGTCGCCGGCGTGACTGCGAAAGTTTCCCTCTCGCCACCGGAACGAACAACGAACGGTCAGTTGGAAAGCGTTTATTTCCGTTTCCAATGTTTTATGATTAATAACATTGAGAATATAAATTAATGAATCAGAGCAAGAAACCTCAATAAGACGACGTCGTGTAAATGTTTTATTAATATTCCGTGGGAAGCAATGAAGCTTTTTCTACACGTGAGATAACTTGCTTATAATTAAGCGCGGGATAACGCATTACTTTACAAATAATGAGTATATAACTACAAATTAACAATGATAATAAAATAACATATAATATACAGCATCGATAACAACCTTATAACAATACGAGGGATGATAACCTTATTACTACACTTGATAGTACACGCTTGTTGCTTTCATAATTTTTAACTTTATGATTTTCCTTGTTAAATCGGCTCAAAGAGGCAATTTGTGAGACTTGATGAAGAATTAATACTATATCTTCTTTATTATTCTTTGATTTCTAATGAAATAGGTTATCTAATCCATTTAGAATGCAACTCAAGCCAGGCCACAATAAATTTAAAACATTCGACTGAATATTTCTTAACTCACCAAAGCAACATTTTCGCTCATTATACGTCAGAATATATGTTTAATTGCGTTACATAAGGCAATATAACGTTTATGATTTCAAACATTTATTTCAGTGATATCAATGAAAAACGAATGTACAGTGATAATTATCGCTATCGAAAATCCGGCTTATTTGTACACTATAGTTAATTCTGTTAAAGTTAAATTGAAGAACCTGCAGAAATGAATTTGATTGAAATTTGACTATTAATTTATGGACTTGAAATATCTAGTTCAATATTCATCATGCAGTGAGAGCACAGCAATAATCATTCGTAAATCTCATTATCCTGTTGCAGACCAAATTCCAAATCATATTGGCTGCCACTGCATCCGAAAATTTGCTTGGATGTTGAATATCTGCGCACGCCCAAGCCTTTGGTATTTTTTCTTTCCCGAAAAGTCGTACTAATTCCTCGCATTCATTGTACTCTCTGAGGTACACAGGAGTTGGTGTATCCCAAATCCAAACCCCAGACCCACGAAGTACGACCCATCCAATCTGTGCCATGAGGTCGAGAGCGTTGTTGGGTAGAGGTTTTCTCGCTAAATATTTTTTCAAAATTGTCTGGGTTCTCAGCAATATGAGGGAATTTTTAGACAGGCGCTCAAAAATCGGCCTGAATTCAGTAAAATCGTTAATGATTTTAGACAATGAGTGTAGTTGAGACCTGAATGTAAGACTCCACATTCCTTCGTCAAAGTAAATCAAGTCAGGTACATCATTTGCTGATCTTTCATAGAACCAATTCTGAAGCACTTCTCTGGCACCTTGCTGCGTGGAATCAGCCAGATTCTTAGCTACGGATTTCCCAAGTTCTACAGCCCAATGTAGACGCATTTCCAAACCTTTTCCGAGCACAGGAAACGAAAATTTTAGTTTGTCATCCAAAAATTGTGTGTTGAGATCTACTCCAGATCCTCCAGCAGCCGTAAGATTTAAATGAACTCGAAGGTTCATCACAATTTGCTCCATCAAACTTCGCACCAACGAATCGCCTACAAAAGCCATACGCAGATTTCGTCCTGTTAGCTTGAGTCTGGTTTCCAAACAATTAGCAATTTCTTTGGCTTCGTAGACGTGTACTTTACAGGGCACGTAAGGTAAAGAAATGTTCAATTTATTCACAGTTTGATTAAAGTTATTTGTGTAAAATCTCTCGATATAATAAGAAAGTTTATGTAAAGAGTCCGTCATGGAAACTGGTTCACCATTTCTCGCTTTTTTTAAGTTCTCAACAATTTGGTTTTGATCACTAGTGAGTTTCGGTTCTAACAAATGACTGCAGCCATCTATAGTAAAAAGTGATCTGCACTTGCAATCCTTATCAGTTAGCGATGATAGCTGCCTTATATGTTCACTACCGGCGTCTGTAGGAAGTCTCTGTCGTCTGTAAATGAATATAAACACGAGAAGCACGACCAGAGCTAAAGTTTGTATAGCTCCACTTGAAATTTTCCTGCAAAAAATAACTCCTATTAGAAAACTTTGTTTTGAACACTGTAGAGAAATCGACTGTTATTCTCAGAAGATAAACACTTCAATTACTTTCGAGTGTACAGAGTAAAAGAAAGGAATTATGAAAAAGAATTAATCAAAAATTTCAGGCGACATAGTTCATATTTACAAATTTCTAAACCGAGCTCTCACCGTAACATATTTCAGGGAACCATGCGTGAGGGTTTATCGCAGACTTTCACGATGCCCACATCTCAGCGTTTTTTAACTAAAATTGTTTGGTGCAATTCAGTTATTCATTCAAATTAATCGATAAAATTCTTTATGTTTGAATCATTTCTCTAATGAAGATTTACGACAATATAAATCGAGATTTAAAACATGGATGTAAGACTGAAAGGGAAGCAAACCATTGACGATGCTGCCGCGCCACGTCTCTGGGACGAGCCTGAAACACTGCATCGAGGAAAACCATTCGAGCGGCAGGAAAACCGGGCAATAATTAGTGTAAAAAACTCAAACTAATTTGTTTTTTATTCTCTGTTGTTAAAGGCTGACTGTACATACGTATGTCTACACTAGAGCTGGAATTTTTATTTCTTCGTGTATCAGTACGGGTACTCGGGAAGTTAGTTCTAAAAATAATCAATTTGCTCAAGTTTCAGATAATAGGTTCCACTCAAATTTATGTCATCAAGTGAAAGAGGTTGTGCGGTACAACGGTGACCATATTCCCAACAATACGGCAATCTTATTGTCGCTCCAAGCTCTCCCGTATTTCAAACAACGACCAAATCTTAGTACATTAGAGAACTGGTAAGCAATTTATGGACTTCAGGGCGTCGGTAAAGCGTCTTAGCGTTATGTCAGAACTAACCCTTCTTCAACAACAATAATTACGAAAACGGCGCATTTCTCAATTTCGCTATCTCCTTGCAGTTCACTTTCGCGGCTAGGGCGGCAACTCTTCTTCCATGCACCCGGAAACGGACGATGTAACAACACAACTTTGGTAACGAAGACGCCGCGCTGTGGCTTGCCGTTACCGCGACCCCTTTGTCAACTACTCCGATCTACTGACCCCACGCAAACGCTTGTGTTGTGCCGGTGGCAGTTACATAGCACCATGAATATTTTAGCTTAGGTTCGAAATAAATGACTTAATTAGTTAAATCTATATCACTATATGATCTACCTGGAAATCAGTAAATTCCCATTAGTAGTTACTTGTGTTCTAATTAATGGCTACTGACGCAGATTAATAGAATATGACAAGTGTAGGAACTAAAAGTCTACTTCGAATCTACTATGGTTTAAAACAAAGCGAAATATTCCTTCAAAAATGACTAAAGCTGCTTTTAATGATGACAATGTTACCTGTATTGTCGATCTTATGACCTCAACGACCTTATTAATTCTGTGTCTTATATTACCTCAATCTATTCATCTTCATTATCCTAAGTTAAAGATCTAATCAACAACACAATATTTAACAAAATTTCTGATAATTTATACACCGGAACATCGCTTACCATCACGGTTATCCCTGCACGCGTTAAGGCCACGCATGCTCCCGCTCTCTTGTGGTCAAAAGACACTTTTGGTCCACCGCGCACACCGGCCCGCTGTGGTCGCCGCGCAGAGAAGGGGGCACCCGCATCTGCACTCTCACTGCCGCTGCGGCAGCGAGCAAGTGAGGGTGTGCCAGGCTCTGCTCTGGTCGATTTGAGGACGTTCGGTTACAAGCGTTTCATGTGATGCTTCTCATTAGACATTGCCCTGTGTTCTTACAAAGCAATCTATTATTATATACTTTATGCTAAATTATTGTGAATAGTTTGCATTGATACACTTTTAGGATGAGTTGGAAATCCTCAAAATGAATATTTATCCAATTGTATTTATCTGTAAATGCCCAAACAAATATGCCCTGATATATTTTTCATTAATAAAACTGATTTCATATCAATTAAAATGAAAAAAAATCAAGTGAATATTTTCGGTTTTTACCTTTAATTTTTAATTAGGTAATTTTGTTTACCAATATTTCATGCTAGTTCGCATGTGAAATGTCACTTCCTAATTTTGAACTAGTTGAATTCCCAACTTGCTCCTGACTTCTTTTCAACTTCTTCCAACTCTAATTTATATTTTTTTAAGGGAACTAAACCCACAAGCATATTTGTGATATAGGTCACAAAGCGACAGCCATAGCGAGCAGAAGTGATCATCTCGTGCATTTAGTTGCTTCTGGACTTTGACTTTTTGGTTTGTCTTGAGACGAGGAAATGTCAGAGTGCTGAGTGCCAAAACTCCAGCGACATGAAGTGGTAAGTAAAATATTCTAAATGATTCATATTGTCAATCCAATTTGGACATTCAAATCAGTTAGATATTCAATGAGTTGGAAAACACTTTAATATTCTCGAATAATAGGATAAATATCTATTAAGTTCTCACACACTTGAGGTATCTTTCTCAGTGCAAATCAAGGGTCACTGTCAGCGTATTATTTCTAATGTAAATATCACAACGTGATACGTGATCACATAAAAATTATCTTTGATTATGAATTTACTTATGTAAGTTGTGTGTGAGCTTCACTTGTCTGCTGGTGCGAAAACCATGCGAATTCATCGCAAAGTGCGCCCGAAAAGCGGTCAGTGTTGCTTGCTTGCTTTGTATCCATGATACGGCGGTGCGTGAGGTACGGCATGGAACGCTGACGCGAGTAAAGGCTGCTTTCGGCTCATGAAAGAGCGAGGTCACTTGGAAAATAAGCGACTATTATGTTAAATAATCTAAATTGGGTGTAGCTAAAGATTTAGTCAAGTTCCGAATTTGGGCTTAAAAAGAAAAATATATTTTATATAAATAATTCAATAAAAGAATATTATAGTAATGAAAAGAATAAATTTTCTTTTCGTTACTATAATTCGATGTTAAACCAAGATGCCCACGAGTTTCAATTCTAAAATTCAGAGTAGTTTAAAAATATATTATTTTGTTTATCGACGTAGTTTTACGCGAATTGTAATGGGCAGTAAACTTATTAAACTTCATGAATAAAAATTTCCCGAATCATGCAAAGAGAACTTGCTTCACCAAATTCAAGGTTGATCCAGCTGCGATAAATACCAGTTATATATATCATCTCTGGCGCCAACTACCTCAAGGTGTGTCCATTTTCAGCCTTGGAAACCTGATGTAATTCTGTTTACGGAGTTGGGTGGAGTCCGATACTGACCGCGTACATTAAGCAACAAACGATTCTCAACTTAATTCGGCAATCACCTTCAGTTAAGTGTTACCGATGATAGATCCCTCCGACAACGGTGTATCAATTACGTGATTATTATCGGAGACACTGATTGCCGACCGTCATTATTGCACGCAACGGCTCGCTGCTCGATGTCTCCTGCCAAAGTCAAGCAAATTTTGCACTGTCAACCGATTTATCATCGATTTTATAACTTATACGCTATTATTTTTCAGGAAGTGCAATATTTGCAGTTCACATAGTAAATTTATTCGATTTTGACCCCGTAATTTCGACCCCTCGATAACAATTCGCACGCATCAAATGACGCGCGCTGTTCTCTACTAGCGGTTTGTCCCAATATAATATCTCACGTTTTTTGTTTTAAATTTCAATGTTGGCAATCGAGTTCGTTGTCAATCGAGTGTATTCTGAACAACTGACTCGATGAGGAGTCGGTGGCAGCTAGGCAGCGGCGTGACTGAGAAGGCTTTACATCAGTGCCACTATTAGGTGGTGGAGCGAGAGTGGTTAGGTTGCTTCACGCCCATTGTATGCAGCGAGCATCACTTCATCTCAAGCGACAAGTTCGCTAGTGACTGACGTGCTCTTGACTTCTATTCCCACTCACACAGATGGGACCTTAAACTCCAGCTTTCCTTTGTCGTCGAAAAAGATTCAGCAAGATATACTCTTCGAAGACTTATATTCTCTCAGTGACGCCTTCAAGGTGTTTCGATATCGTTTTCCTGAACTGCTCAATGCCAAATAGTAGAGAGAAATAAAATTGCTAAAATACGATAGTGTTCACACTCATTAACTGAAATGAAGTGTGTTTGGAGTTTCCACTTAACAGAATTTATTTGAATTTCAGAGATAATTTCACCGCGATGTTGAAGACCTATACCTTTTGGAAGACAATGCATATGTTTCTAAGCTAAATTTTTTTCAATTGAAGCTCTACGAACGTCCAATAGTTCGTGAATATCAAGACCCGACACAATAATTCGATTTCAAAATCTGTTGCAAGCACAGCGACGTGCCGCAACGCATCAGTTCCGCTCAGGGGCGGAAAATGCGGCTAAATAAACACGTAGGAAGGCGTCAGTCACGAGACTGCGTCATATTTGTAATTTACTACATCTTAGTTATTGTTACAGACCATTAAGCCTTATTTATATACACGATTTCTGACGAAATCGAGAACACATTTTCTTCGCAATTTTGTCTGCATTGATGCCACACAATTCCAATAGCTCTAACTTTTTACTAAGCCAGTGTAACATGACGGAGAAATGTTAAAAAATTCCCCTATTAAAATACTTTGTGCATCATTATATTCTTGATATTCAATTCAAATCGAATATATTCGCTCTCACCATTAAATTTTTTGTTTCCAGCTACATACTCCAATATCTGATTTTTACTTTATGCTGGCATTCATAATTATTTTTATTCTTACTCATTTTTCGGACTGCGTCCGAAAAATACTTACTCACTGCGTCCTCCCCATTGTTCCTTAACTCAAAATCCAATGGCACATCCAAAATCCAAGGAATTTTCACAATATTACAAGAACGTTCAAGTAATGCACCAATAACTCGGAATTTGGTAATTTTCAGAATCTATTTACCTCGTAAATTAATGTTTAAGTAAATTTCGTGAAGTTTAATTGTGCATTGTGTTGCTGAAATTTATTTGCTAGCGGATCATTGTTCAATCGAAACGCCTTTGAATTTTTGATCAAGTCACGTCCATAAAGTAAGATGCGTCATTTCATTATCCACAAGATCTCATAACGTGAGTAACTTGATCGTGCTCGGTCTCTGCTTTATACTCTTCATTGTTATGCAGAAATTGCAAAGCATCGAACAAAGAAGAGTTACTCCATACATCGCGTCCTAGCGAATCACGTTAGTGAAAAAGTGAATATTACAAAATTGTAATATTCACAAAATTGCCGTTGTAGAAACCTAAGCTTTATTTGACGTTTTACGGTGATGAAAAGTGCAGTCTTCTTCGTTAGCGACGGCATCATGTGCGGCGGTGGATGATGTAATATGTCGCAATGTTTTGTGGCGATGCTGGAAAATTCGTTACAAGAACAACTTTCTGTGAATCCTTCTGAATAAGGTTAGTATCGCACAAAATTATATCACAATAATGTCTTCCCGAAATTCCTGCACATATTTCCCGCATTACTTTATCAAATAAAATAGTTTAGATAAATCGTGCCAAAAATAATTTTCAAAATGAAAAAGTATGCTATGAAAGGATACATTTTTTCAACCCAGAATCAACAACATTTAATAATAGCGTGTATCGGTCTTTTTTCATTTGAGGTCACTCACCCCTTCCCTATTTGAAAACGATTTTAACACACATGGGCGTGATTATTAAATTCCAAGTACGTTGTTTCACAACGTCCAAGATCTTTCCGCTCTCTTGAAGAATTACCGTTCCATTTGTAACCTGTTTTGAAGAAAGACGTAACATTTTTCATCGATACCGCTTCGAGTATAGCGGAGAATTGAGCAAGCTCCATGCTTTCATAGCACTTTAGTCAGCCCATAGCTTGCGTTGCAACACATCGCTTCCGACGAGCGATGAAACACTCACGTGTACTCGGAAGAACCTCGATCAGGTGGCAGTTCTCAGTCTTCTCACTATAATCTATGGCTATAGTGAGAGGAAACATTTTTTTTTGAAACACAGTACGTAACATTTTCAGGTATTCCCGTGAACCGCAAAGGCATGAGAGAATTTTCAAGAATTTAGCCTGAGACATAAACCAAGAGTGAGCGAGAATTGGTGTAACCACTGACGAGGCATATAGTGGAAGAGCAAGCGAACCTCATTAACATTTCTCGAAACACTGAAGCATATTCAGCTATTTCCGTGAACCGAAAGGACCTAAGTGAACCTCCAAGTCTTTAGTCCGAGACCGAAACCAAGAGTAAGGGGTGTGACTAGGCAAAGCGTTTCAGCTTTGGACGGACGGCTACACAGTGCAAACAATAGCGACACGCATTCTTTGCACTCAATTCGTCGCGCTTGAAAAAGCGTGAAATGAACGAGTTCCGTCAGTGGCGTGACGTGCTCACGATCAACGGCCGACTCAAGGTCAGCCACTCAGGTTCTGAACCATCAATGTTAATGAGTGCTTGTAAAGAATTCAACGCCTGAAATTCAGGATACCATCATATTTAGTATTGAATTTAAATAATTTTCTTTATCGCATTATTGATAACAGTTGATAGTAAGTTGTTGCCGAGGCGATTTATTGCACACGTGTTTTCAACTAATTGACTGAATTGTTGTAAACTGGTATTGAAACACATTTTTTTTAGTTTAAAGTCAAAATATTTGAAAAGTCATTTACATTCAGATGTTTGGAACAGGTTCCCTAGTTGTAACACCGATAGTTCATTTACGATGACATTCATTACTACATTTATTTTAACAAAATTTAAAAATAAATTAAAGCTTACATACGTTATCACAATTAACGCTCAAGTGACAGCGCTGACAAGATGAACGTTTGAGAAACTCCCGTTATGTTGATCCCCGGGACGCAAAAATAGAAGAGAAACATCTAGTTCCAAGCAAATATTTGAACAAAATTATTCCAAAATCTATTAAAATTATTATTTTTTCCTTAAAGCAACGCCTTAAGTCGATTGTAGTCCTTCAACTGACATTCCAGGTGCAAGGAACATGCTCGATTAATCATCATTAATCCTGTTATTATTCTACAGATCTCCTCTCTTTCTTCCTGATCACGGGAATTAATGACGTGGAGAATGTTATGACGAACAACATCGGCGAAGTAGAATTTCTTGGGAGGTCACGGCTCAAATCAGTTGCAAGGAAACACATTACAATACAACAAGTAATGATTCGCTTTCCCCTTAGGTTCCCTTATAAACCCCTTTTAAGGAAAGAAACTACAATATGCTGCTTCAATTTTTGGATTATTTTCCTCATTTACACCTCAATTTAGACCTCATAACAAACAACGGTTTATAAACACAACGCATTCCTTCACCACTCGCGAATTGTATAAACTTT